CCCACTCAGTCCTCTCTACTGGCAAGCAGGGTGTGGGGATGGGGGAAAGACTGTCTTTATTGAACTTAGGAGCGCTTCCTGGAGGAGATGGGCTAGTAGAAGGAGGTTATGTAGAAGAGGGTGGACAGGAAGTGAGAGCTGTCTGACAAAATAACCTAATGACACCTAATGTGATGGCCTCTTTTACATACAAGGAAACGGGTCAGTGAAGGGAAGTAGATGCCAGGATCTTATGAGACAGGTGGAAAGAGCTAAATATTTACTAAATGGCCACAATGTTCCAGGTATGCTGCTAGTCCTCTATGCTGGCTAGTACAGGATTTCCTACTTAATACTTTTTATGTGGTATATATTATTCCTATGTTATACACAAGGACAGCAAAGCTCAAAGGTGCAAGGTATCTCATCTAAGAAGTGATCAAGACAGAGTCAAGGCCTGGCTTGGCTGGTCCCAGGGCCTGCTGCCTGCCATCTACTCCAACTCTCTTCAGAGAGGGGCTAGAGCTCAGAGTCCCCAGTGCCAGGGCCAGGTGATTCTCATTTCACAGACATCACTAGGTTGTACAACTCACACATGGTTGACAGGAAGGTATTTGGGAAGAGACCAGAGAGTGAATGTAGGCTGAGCCAGAACTGGGGAGGGACTGGTTGGAAGCAGCAGGAAGGGCAGTCCAGGGTGCTTGGGCTGGAATGTGAAGGTTGGAAAGGGCTGAACAGAGTGTACAAGCCTCATTTTGGCAGAAATGTGTGGATACAGAAAAGAGACAAGGAAAAAAGAGAGGGAGAAAGAGAGAGACAGATAAGAGGCTAAGAGGTTATGATGTCCCAGGTTACATTTAAGGGCTATGTTTTAAGGAATGCTCTTTTTCTTTGAATCTTGAGCCTTGGTTTTTCTATACTACACATCTAACTCATAGAAATAATGGAACAAACAGAAAGGAACTTGGTGAAAATCACAGGGTGTTTCAACCAAGGAGATAGGTGGAACTGGATTTGCTCTGATTCTAGTGCTCTGGGTCCCAGATGAAGTCTCTCTGCCTCTGCAGGCCACCATTTCCATGTGTCTCACAGGGCACAGAGTATATCTCAGACTTGGGAGGTTTCCAGAACTATCAGCTGAAACTTCCAAAAGTATAGAGTGTAGGTCTGGGGCTAGGGAGGTAGCTCAGGGGTAGAGTGCTTGCCTAGCATGCCCACGCTTCTGGGTTCATGATCTATTGGGTCTGGAGTGGGCTCCCAAAAAGAAAGGAGAACCTTAAACGAAAATTCATCTTGCCAGTGTGGTTATGCTGGCCTGCAATTCTAGCACTTGAGAGGAGCAGGAGGACTGCAAATTCAAGGCTATTTTTGGCTGCATAGAGTTTAAGGCTGGATTAATAGCAAGACCCTGCATCAAAACAAATCCAAGACAACAAAAAAAGTAAAATGCAAACAACAAACAAAAAAATGATGAAAGAAGAAAAAACAGAAAGTGTTCACACTTTATGTTATACAATTATATGCTATTTTTGCATTATTTATAATTATGACTTTTTAACTTAAGAATACATATATAAATTAAAAGTGCCTTTAGTTATCTCCAGGATGTGAAGGGAAAAAAAGCAAGAATAGTGGATTTGTTGGAGGAAGGAGATCTCGCTTTGCCTGCTCTAGAATCTTGAATTTTGAGTGTATTAGCTATGATAAACAAATAAAATTGACCCTTATGAATAAAATTAAGACAAATAGTTGCGTAAAAAGGTGAAAATAAAATGGCCCAATGGAAGTTTAGTTGATAAGCCCACTTAAAATACCTTAGGACTAAAGGACTTGGGTGTCAGGCCTAGGCCCACCTTGACCCATAAGAATTGGGTACTCAGGTGGGGGAGATCTGGAGGGGGACCACCAGGTCTAGGACCAGACAGGGCCTGCCTTACCACTGCTAGTCTCCTGAGGTGTGGCATCTACCACCTGCCACCCATCAAAGCCTGAGGGCAGATCCGGCCTCTTCATCCAGCAGTCGTTCCACACGTGGAAATTCCTGAGTGGACAGGGAGAAAGGACTGGGTCAGAGACACCCATCCATGCCTCCCTAAGCCCCTTCCCTGACCCCCTCCACATCTAGGCCTCAGAGCATCATCCCCCAGCAGATATAGACAGTACGGGACAGCCTCAGCCTCACCACACAGAATCGTGGTTCAGATGTTCAAGTGGCTTCATGTTCTCATCAAAGTAGATGTCCATAGTGAGGGACGTGTCGGTGTCATGTGCAGAGTTGAAGTTGGTGACAGTACGTGTGGCTAGGCCCAGGCATCGCAATACTGTGGAGAAACCAGAGTTGAGGGTCAGGGGATGAGGTGGGGGGCAAGTGAGATGTCAGATCAAGGATACCATGGAAAAAGGGCATCTGAAGCTGCCAATCAACATGGTATACAGAGTCAGAGGCCATGGTGTCCAAGAGGGTTTTCAACCAGAAAGCACTTGGGGTTAGGGAAAGCCGGGCCACCTGTCTGGCTCAGGCCTGCCTGTTGCTTCTTCCTCCTCTCCCTTAGGCATCTCTCTTAATTATTGCTAACAATAATTAATGATAATTAAGGCCAGCTTACCATCCACCCTTGCTTGCACCCTGTGCTATAGCCAGAACTGGGCTGGGCCAAGTGAAAATGGAGCCTGGCTTCCCTCCCTCCTCCTCATGGGGCCTAGACCATGCCCTTCACAGTCCCCTACTACCTGTTGTGGTCACACCAGCAAAGACCCAACACTGGCCATAGGGGACAGAATAGCCCGTGCGTAGGTAGCTAAGCAGGATCTCCACGCTGCCAACCCACGCCGAAGGGTTGGTGCCTCGGGAGTAATCGCCAGACCAGTTCCCAATGAGGACTCCATTGTCATCCAGGGAGTTTACCTGCCCGGGACAAGATGCAGTGGGGTGAGGTGGGAAAGGGACTCAGGATCTGGCAGGACCCCCAGCCTCACATTCTCTGACCCCCCAACCAGCCCTCAATCCTAAATGCCGCAGGATTAGCCTGACCCCACCCACCTGTCTCCTGAACTGCATTACCCACCCCCCCACTATCTGACATAGGAATGTGAATCTTGGGTGTGCCAAGTTTTGGGTTTGGCCCTACATTCCACAAGAGCTGGGACAAGAGCCAGGGCAAGTAAAATGGGGGCAAGTAAGGGAGAGAAAAAGAGGAGGTGTGAACCCCTTTTCTGTACCCTTTAAAGGACAGAGATAGCATTGTGGGTATTGAAGAAATCCAGAAAGGATAAAATAAGTGGTCAGGGGGTGAGGGGAGGCAGCAGGAGGACACTGAGCAGGACTTGAAGACACAGGGTGCTCACCATAGCAGAGATGACCCTGGAGACACTGACAGGATCCCCACGACCTCCATATGGCATCCCCCGTCGATCTAGGATGTACAAACAGGCATCCAGCACCCCGTGGTCAAACTGGGAGGAGAAAGGGCAGAGGTGACCACAGCTCAGTTCGACAGAGCTCAAGCCAGCAGCCCGCTCCACCCTCCGAGTCCCCTCGGTCATGTGACCCTGGCCAGCCATACCTGGCCGTAGTTCCAGGTCCGTTCACCAATCTGTGCTTCAGTTCCATAGTAAATTCTCCCAGACTCATTTAAGACATACTCCTGCCGCCAGTCCTCATGATCCACGTACACGATGTCCTCTGTGTCCCCAGAAAACACATAGGTAGTTCCCTCCACACTCATCCTGGGCCCTAGCTACTACTTGGGAGGTCTGTAGAATTGAAGTTCACAGAAGAAAATGGGGATAACTTCAGCCTGACGGGACTGCTCTCAGGAAGGATGTAGGGAGCATGGCAGAGATAGTGAGAGGAGGCTGGCCATAGCCTGGATCCTTTCTCTGGGGAGATGAAGTGGGCCACCTTCCCATACTGGGTCCAAGCCCCCCCAGCTGGACAATGGAAGAATGGCTTCTTCTATGGCCTGGCACCCAGTCAGATCCCAGACCTGCCCTTCCCTCTTGCCCACTCTCTGCTCCTGACCCTAGCTGGCTTACCTGGGCACCAGGGGTTGAAGAGAATATAGATCTCATTTTGAGGGTCAAAAGGAAGTTGGAACTCCCCAGCCTCACAGCGTGTTCGGACTGTGAATTGAAACTTGCCAATGATGGCACTGGGAGAGGTGTGGACTCGCAGATTCAGATTCTGCCCACTGGCCTTGGTCACATGGGCCTTCCAGCCCCCACTTCCTCCTTTGTCCACTGGGATGATCACGTGGGTGCCCTTGCCCACCTCAGGGTTGTTTCCTAGAGTGAAGAAATAAACAAGTGAGTTCTCACTTGAGAGGGAGGACGTAGGCTTAGACTTTTCCCAGCTCCACCCAAAATGTCTATGAGCCAATGTGTGTATGTATTCCTGCATTGGGTTAGCGTTTCAATCTCTGATAATCTCCCTCAGAGCAGCACCGTGTCTGCCTGATGGTTGCCCCACATGTTAGGGCAGCTCCCCAGTTCAACATCCCAAACCTGTTTGCCTGACACTGAAGTTAGAGGCTGGGAGGGGACACTAGGGCCATTGTCACCTTTTGCCTGCCTGCCTGTCCATCCCAGTGCAGAGCCACCTTGGTTGGTACAAATCCCCCTGTCTTGTAGAAAAAATCAGTCCAGATACTGAATGCCAACCCTGTCTGCTTTCTGAGCCTACAGCTTCCATAGCCCAGAGCATCCTTGGTGCAGATAGTGGGGGTATCTGGGAAATTAGAGGTTGAGGTGGGTCAGGTTAGGCTCTAATCAAAGGGTAAGAGGAATTGCCTGTCCCGGGCAGCTGCATAATCACTAGCCTGGGCAGCCAAGGGTCACCAAGCAACACAGCCAGGGAGGCACCTGCCTTAGGCCATGGGACAGAGATACAGTCAGAGCCGGAGAGAGGGAGAGAGAGAGAAGCGGAAAGAGGAGGAGGGAGAGAGGGAGGGAAGAAAGGAAACAGAGAGAGAGGAAGAGAACCAACTGCACTCTGAAGAAGAGCACACTGAGGCTGAGGCACACTGAGGTTGGCCCTACTGAGGAAGTACCGTCACACAGATGCTGCCCTGAGGATTGAGGAAGAGAATGAGCATGGGAGACTGTGTCACCAAGACCTTCTCGGAGACGCACCCCTTGGGACACTTGCACCTGCTTTATCTGGCAGAGGTAAGCAGTGGGTAGGAGAAGCCAAAGATCTCTCTGAGTTCTGATGCCAGCCCCCACCCCATCAATCTGAGATCTCCACCCTTCCTTTCCAGGTGCCACTCACCAATGAGCAGCTCAAGGGCAATACGGTCGGAGGACTCATAGGGTCGGTTCAGGAAGAGGACCAACTGGAAAGGCTGCCCACGGCGCACAATCAGCTCATCATACTCAAACTCATCAGTGTGGTGTTCACGACGGTTCTGATCTGAACGTGAGCTCAGCAAATCCACACCGGTCACCACCAGCATGCCCTCTGCAAGGCCACATCCCAGGGTCAGCAAAGTCCCCTCAAAGAGCTTAGACCTCCCCCGTTAGCTTCCCAGCCTCCTGGATACCAGGATAGGCCTCAGGTCTCATTCAGGCTTCTACCTCTCAGCTGAAGTGGACCGCTGGCCTTACCTCGGATGGTGCCATCACCTGCTGCATTCACACCACTGCCCCGGGATTCAGGTCTTCGATTCCTGGACCCTCGATTTCTGGAACCCCTGGAGCCAGAAGGCTCAGGTCCCCAGTCATCATCTTCCCTATTCCGGCAAGAGCAGCAGCCGCAGCAGCGAGCCCAGAAGGAACGGGCCCCTCCTCGGCGGGAGCGGCGGTCTCGGTCTGGGTCTAGGTCTCGATAGCGGTCTCGGTCTCTGTCTGGCTGGGGCTCTGGAGAAGGTGTGGTGGGGGGCTGCAAGGGGTTCCCACCCCAGCGGCCCATGTCTGATCGAGGACCGTCCATCATGCCTGTTAGAAGAGGCAGGGGAGCCTGATCACCCTGTCAGACCACCACAAAACCATCCATCCAAACAGCAGAATTGGTCCCAGCCAGATACTGAGACAGTACAACCTCAAGCCACAGATATCCATGCACCTAGAGATTCTCTCACCTTAGAAAAGCCTTGCTTCCCCACTCACCCAACCAAATCCAAAAAATACATGCCCAGTGGAGAAGGCGACTCAAGAACCCGAGTGACTCCTCTTAGCCTGAAGTTCCAGTCCACAGACCAGAGCACTGGGTGCCGCATCCTGGTCCTTCCACCTGCAGCTCCTTAGTGTAGGCCACCACAAAGACAGCTTCTAAAACCCATCTGGTAGTCATCCCACTCCAGGTTTCACATAAGATAGGTGGGGAGCAGGGTGGCCTGGTGTCTTTGGAGAACCTCACAGAGGCTGGCAGGAGCTGGGGCTCCACTGGTGCTGGGAGCCCACATTGAGCCCTGGTAGACCTGCATCCCCACCCAGCCGACTGGTTGGTGCCTGCTGCCCCGTGCTTCTTTCTGGGGCGGGATCCTGGCGTGCAGTCTGACAGTGATGCCCATCTATTGAGGCTTATCACTGCAGCGCCTCTCACCTGGCAGTGGTGTTGGCAATGGTAGCGCTGAGTCCTGGGGCCGGAGCAGAACAGGTAGGAACTGATGCGACAGAAGGGACGGGCTGGACACCGTCGCTCAAGTGGAAGGTGTGGGCTGGGCCAGGCAAGTAGTTTATGAGGGGAGGGAGGGAGGGCGGGGCTGAGCTGCTAGGCAGAAGGAGAAGCTGGTTGCTCCATCCCCTTCAGGAAGAGGCCTGAACTCTGGGGGACTGGCCCCACCTCTTTACCCCTTTCTAGGAACCAAGATGATGCTAGGGAAAGGGGGTGGGGCCCAGACCTGACAGGTTTGAGGTTAGGGTGAAAAGGAGGCTTTGGTGGGTCACAGGTGTGATGAATTTTATAGCAGGCTGATTCTTGCCAGCATGTGCAGAGCATGTACAGAGCAGTGGGGCAACAAATCCCTTGGCCCCTGCTGCCAAGCTCTCCTGCGACCCAGGCTTAGCCTGGTCCTGTGAAACTCTGTGCACAGACCTGGTCCTGGAACTTATTCTACCAGGGAGGTCCCAGTATCTCAGGCTGCAGACTGGTGACATCAGCAGCCAGGACCTCAGACTGGCTCCACCAGCCAGTCCCTGACAAGCTGGCTCTACCTGATCTTCTGACACCCCTCTCCCCACATTTCTCCTTCCTACAGCTGGTCCACAGCCCCAGCATCCCTGCATGAGTGAGCTACTCCTCAGTTTCTTGCATCTCTCATTCTTGGGATTAGGGAGTCAGAGTAAAAGCAGTATCTTATCTCCTCCCAACCTGTGGGGGTCCTTGAACTCAGGCTTGGATGGGAACTGGATAGGAAACTTGAACTCAGGCTTGGATGGGAACAGGCTCTCCACTCAGGCTATCGGCATATCTCCTTCTCTGAGAGTAGTGCCTGGTCAGCGAGAGCTGAGGCTTCTTCTTCTCCAACCTGAAATTCTTCTTGGGAATCCGGACCAACTAGCTCCAGGAACCTACCCTAAGTGCTTGCTAACTCCACCCCTGGCTCTGGGAGACAGAGATGACACTGAGATAACCTCAAAGCAGAGGGGGAGCCAAGCATTTTCTGGGAGGTCTCCCAAGGGCCTCGTTATTTGGCCCAATAGCCAGGTGCTTCTTTTTCCAACCTTCTGGTGTCCCAGCTCTGCCCAGGCTCCTGAGCAGAAGACAGTGAAAATTGGAGGAGGCAGACTTGAGGAGAGGCTGTTCGGAGTTGTATCAGGCAGGCATGTGCCTTGGGAGTGGGGGCAAAAAGGTTTCAGGACCTGGTGGGGAGTTTATACCCACACTTTTTCTTCTGTCATCCCCAGAACTGGAGGAGCTGTTCTACCTCCAATACCCTCAGCACACACAAAATTCCAGCCCAGTATGAGGCAGTTTAGATAAAAGTCTTTGTTGTGGAGCTGTTGGGCAATACCTGGGATACAGGAAGGGGCACGGCCCTGAGTGGCCGGATGTCTGTGAACACACATGGGCCCGGGCAGAATCCACAGAACCAGGAAAATGCATTTGTCACACACACGCACTCTCTCATTTCAATCTTTCTCTTTCCCCACCCAGCCAAATTTGACTCAGTGCCTTAACCCCTGAGCCACTCCCTTTTTCCTCTCCTGAAGGCCTGACAACTCATGATCTTTGAAAGTTAGGACAAGGTGCATGAGTTGGCAGTAGGAACAGACATTTAGCTCAATACATCAGGGAGCTGGGCACAGGCCTCTGCCTCTCTTTCATATTAATAAGCAAGAAAATGATACTAAAGTATTAACAAGGTGTAGATGACTTCGGCCCCCCTAAGAGCTCAGCACCTTGGGCGAGTCTCAACAGCGGCTTTTTGCTAAATTGTCTCACTCCCAAGAGCATGTGAGGATCAAACAGGATTAAGTATTCCCAGGGCTTTTCAACTGCTGTTCACCTGGACTGATACTGTTGTTACAACAGGGTGGAGCAAGGGTCCCCTCCCCTGCTCTTCCTGGAACACAGTGCCTGAGCCCTCTCAGTTGTGATGACCGGGAGCCAGGAGTAGAGAGGGCATCTAAAAAGGGCAGGCATCACAGGAGAAACTTTTATGACCCTTGGTGAGACTTACAAATAATAGCTCAGCCCAAACCTGAACCTGATTCCAATCCTTATCCCCTGAAACCTGGGGCTAGTCCCAACCCTAAACCAGACATTGTTACTCATATGGAGCTTTAGCCCTGAATTCTGCCCCAAACATGAAGACTTTAGCTCTCCATAATAGGGAGCAGCAGGCCACAGAGGTGCAAATGAAAGCAGAGTCATACTCCAAGTATCTTCCCTTCCTTTTCTTAAAACGTGTAGGTAGTAACGGGGATAGTGACTTAGTGAAGCTGGTGACAGCAGCTTGGCAGCCTGAGGTGGCTTCTCCATTCTTTATTCAGTCCCAATAAGTTAAAAGGGCAAGGGTAGAGGGCAGGGCCTCTTAGGTTAGGATGCTATTAACTGAAGGCAACAGTTTGGCCAGGTGCTCTGAGATGCCTGCTTCTTGGCACAGTGGATTGCCCTGCAAGTCGAGGAAGACCAGCCTGGGGCAGGAGGCAAGAGATTGGAGCACTGCAGCCTGCTGAAGGCCTTGGGCTGAGAGTTAAGGAAAGTTCCACAGGTCCCTATTCCCATCACCCATTTGCTCCTGGGGACCCTCAACAGCTGGGCACTGGGCACTGCTGCTTGGATGACTGCTTGATGAACATATCCTACACTTCACCTACAAATACAAACACCTGCCCATGGGGGCTAGGGGAAGCACATGAGGCAGGCCAGGTGTGCTGGTGGAAGCCAGAAAGAGTAGTGGACACTGCAGCAAAGTAGAAATCTAGCCTGGTGCAAGGAGGGCCTCACAATTCAGCAATGACCAGGGGCTGACATACAAGTCAAAGGTTTTGCTGACTTCTAATTTTAAAAAGAGAAATCACAGTTCCAAGTTTTTTTTTCAAATATGAAACTTTCTGATTTTTCATAATACTATGTGGTTCCCAGAAACAGCTACAGTTTTCCAGTTTGTGAACTCTAGCTTAAGGAAGTTATATACTCTACAGTTCAAGTTAATGACACCTTCAGAGTCTCAGGCTATCATCTCCCCTGGCTCACAGTGACAGAGCCCCAGGGTCCCTCCCACCTCAGGGTGGAACTCTGTCTGTGTCTGCGGTTTGTCCCTTTGTGGCCGGCACTTTACTCTATGTGCCGTCCGCAGGGCAGCCAGAAGGAAGGATACAGTTGTTGTAGAGTGACAGTTCCCGAAGCTGGGGCAGATTAGCCACGCCATCCAGGGACTTGATGGAATTATCGTTGGCCTGAAGCACCTGGGGACAAGAGTTAGGGTGGCACAAGGCCAAGCAGGTAGCTGTCATTCTGTGCTTGATATAAGCAATGGAGGGGCCCAGTGCAATCAGCTTATAGTGCATGGCAGGGCTTGAAGGGTCAGTCTCTGTATTAGGGAAGGTAGGGGCTAAGAAGTCCTGGATATCGATGTAGATTAGGTGGACTTCTGAGGTGGAGGAAGGAGAAAAGGCCAGCAATGGAGGAATGAATGTTTTACCATCAGGCAGCGCAGAGCAGCCAGGGCAGGGGGTAGGGCTCGGAGACGATTGTGTGACAGGTCAAGATGGGTGACCAAGAGCAGCTGTTCCAGATGGCAGAGCATTGTCAGATCCTAGGAGTGGGAGAAGAATGAGATACCCAGAAAGATCTGGAAGTGGGTCTTTAGCCACTGCCCTCTGTTTTGCACACGGGCCCCTGGAGAGAGGATGGTGGCAGGTAGGATGCTTACAGCTGTCAGCAGTATATTCCACAAGCCAGGGACATGGGACAGACAGGGAATGCAGGGATAGAGGTGGGACCAGTAGGAGTGGGGAGGAGGCAGCCTGGAGGTGGGACGGGACAGAGGACAGTGACAGGTGCTCAAGTGAACCAGAGTTAGGAGTCAGGGAGTGACTTTCCAGGAGGAGAGGTGGGCTGCAGTGATGTGATAAAACTGGTGTGGTGGGAAGGACTGGAAACAGAAAAAGTGGAGCCTGGAAAGCTTATCACAAATTTCCAGAAAAGATTTGCACTTTAGATTTTGGGACGTATGCTCCATATGAGAACCATGGGAATGTGGCAGGGGTGGGTGAAGGGATACTCTGAAAAAGAAGATGTCACCAGCCCAGGG